CATACAGAAAAAAAGAAGGAGAGCTTTAAGGATGATAGATGTTTGATGGAAAGAAGGAGAAAACTACACAAAAGCACCCGCCAACTGTCCACCAGCACTCTTGAGAGATAATGAACTTGTTGTCAAGATCATAACACAATTGCTTGTGTTTTTTGTTTTTTCATTTTAATGTTTGTAATTAAAATTGGCATGGTGTACCATGCCTGTGATTATTTCACACCTTCAATATGCCAGGGTTTTTGTTTCATGGACTAGAAATCCAAGTATCTAAACATTTTCACTTTTGCTCACGCGGAACCTGGAGAAGAGTCACGGAAATGGATGTACAGAAAAGTGGGAAGACATGGAGTGAGATCAAGCGACTAGTCCTGGATAGGGAAAGGTGGAAAGTGTTTGTTTGTGGCCTATATCCTGATTCAGGGTGAGAAAGGCAATGATGATGATCAAGTTAAAAGGTCTTACGAAGAAATACATTTTTCAAGTTTTCTCAAAACAGCAATACATGGCTTAGGCTACTGTATTACGATCACGACGATGTGATTCTGAAGGCGGTACACTACGTCTCAACGCCTAAAGGGACAACAAGCAGAAAAGAGAAACATTGTAGGGAAGAGTGACAAAATAACCTGAAAGCTCACTGGATGTGAACCTTGGAACCTTCATGAAGTGTCCTTGAACATTCCCTTATAATCAAGTATAGCAATAAGATGTCATCCCTACACAGAACACTCAGAATCAAGTATAGCAATAAGATGTCACCCTTACATAGAACACTCAGAATAGACTGAGTTTAGCAATAAGATGCCATCCCTACACAGAACACTTAGAATAGACTGAGTTTAGCAATAAGATGCCATCCCTACACAGAACACTCAGAATAGACTGAGTTTAGCAATAAGATGCCATCCCTACACAGAACACTTAGAATAGACTGAGTTTAGCAATAAGATGTCATCCCTACACAGAACACTTAGAATAGACTGAGTTTAGCAATAAGATGCCATCCCTACACAGAACACTTAGAATAGACTGAGTTTAGCAATAAGATGCCATCCCTACACAGAACACTTAAAATAGACTGAGTTTAGCAATAAGATGTCACCCCTACACCAGAGAACCTGCGGTGTATGAATGGCACCACACCAGTGGGGGGGAATTGTGCACCATCCTTGCTTGTTGGGGCAACAGACAAATGACACCCCCTTGGCCAGTTCCGACCAGATTACCAGGAGTACCGTTGAAAATAATTGTCCAAGGCGTTCATCCATTCGCGACCTCAGTGCTTTCTTGCCCCATCTCCATTTTTAATAACAGCAAAAATCGTTCATAACAAAGAGTGAGCCTTAAGAAGAAGTCACATTTTCAACGTTAAAAAAAATGGAGATAGGACAAGAAAGCACTGAGGTCACCGCGCATTGTTAAGGAGAAAAGTGGTTGTCTTCTACAGTGTAATTATAAGATAGAAAAAATACAAGGGGGTGGGGGGAGGGGGATATATAGGAAGTGGTCACTGGTACAGGTGATTGTCTTGGACAGGTGGCCCTTAGAGTAAGTTCGACAGTACTATCTTTCATTCCATATTGTGCGCTACCAAAACATGCATCAAATGACTTTTTTATTAAAAAAAAGGAAAATAAAATAAATATCCACTACAAACGAAAAACAGCAGACAATGTGCTAAGTTTATTGATATTCTATCCGGCCGGTATCCGCTCTACTAACGACGTTCTCTAGGCTAACAGTGAGGTGAACGACCAGGATGTACTTACTTGAGTGCTGTTGCCGCTCTTGAAATATATTTTTGCCCAGCAGCCACACAAAAGTACAACAAAAGAGAAGAAAGAAGACAGAGCAGATTGTATTTCCACACACAGTTCTCAGCACACATGAGGGACACACAGACAGACAGACACGAAACAAGGAGGGGTGTGGTGGTCATAAAGTGAGACATACACTTTTATTTTTTTTTATAGTAGAAGGTTTTACGGCGCTCGCAACTGCATAAGGTCATATGAGCGCCAAGGGGTGGGTGTCAACAGAGAAATCTTTACAGGGATTCAGACTTATTCTGCTCACCTCTCTAGCTTCAACAGCACAATGTCTGCTTCGACTATCAAGGCACCCTAAAAATAGCAGGTTACAAGAGAGTGACAAACATACAAAAGAAGTACAGGAAAAATGACAATAGCAAGGATTAGGAAAGAAAAAGCAAGAGAGACTGGAAGGGTTAAGATGCCTTGATCATAACTTAATCTATCCATCTCTACCCTTCAGTCTTTCACCTTTATGGGAGTGAGGTTATTTTTCCTGAGAAACTCATCATCATCATCTTTGGAAGCAATAACAACAGCTTACATAGACATACCCCTTGACTACCTCTCTCAGTCTCACTATGCATCTTTTGTATATATATATATATATCTACATTTTGTTTGGACTTATTCCTCTCTCTCCTGAGAGAGAGAGAGAGAGAGAGAGAGAGAGAGAGAGAGAGAGAGAG